TGACCCTTGTTCCACACCACTGTTTTTAAAGAGAAGCATTTTCAGAAGAGGAAGATTCGGAGTGGGGAAGTGTGTAGAGGGAAAGGTAGGTGCTGAACACTTTGGCTTTCCCCTTTTCTTTTAAAGTTAGTTAACTTACTTGAAGGTATTTCAGTTGCAAAACCACAACACATTACTCAACATTTATATTAAACACTCAGTGGGTGGTAGAAGCACTTGCATGTATTTGGAGGGGGGCAATAGTCATGGAGAGGTTTAAACAACCTTCCTTTGCTGCTATACTGTGCTCTAAATCAACCTTTCCCAGAGATTTCCCCCCAGTGTGTGTGTGTGTGGGGGGACACCATATCTGCAAACACTCACAACATCCTAGTGAAGCAAACCGGGACATGACCCAGCCTCTCAACACACTTAAAATCACTCCCCCTCCAATGTCTCTGTGCCCCTTCACAGATACATCCACCCACCTCAGTTACCACCCCCTTCCCACATTGACATACCACTCAGGGCCCCTCTCACTCAGCTCCTCCCTCCCTTGGCGCTCACCCCTTTCCCCTCAAATCCTGCTGACATGCCCTTTGCGCACCTTCACCCACTGCTCCTTTTTTTTGCCCCAACAGTTGCTTGCCAGCCCCCTCCCCTTCCTCTTCCCCTCCCACAACACAAACACACACACATGAGGGCTGCCACGTACATTGGACAAACAAACAGACGAATAAATGCACGTATCGCAGAACACAAGAATGCCGTCAAAAAAGAAGAAAAAACTTCCTCTCTTTTCCAACACATGAAAGAAACAGGACACGAAATTAATTTTGCAGATTCCAAATTGCTCTTTAACATGGAACATCACCACAAGAGAATAATCATGGAAGCCATCGAGATAGAGAAACACCCTCACAACATGAACAAGCGTGACGACACGTCCCGCCTGCCAGACATCTGGAAATTAGCCCTCCCCACAAAAACCGACACCAGATCCAGAGGCACACAGAACGCCATCACCAATCAACCACACCAGACCCAAACCAGACCCTCTTCCACAGATAAATTACAGACACCATCCAGTAGCCAAACCATGGTGGCACCTCCGGATGCTGCACCCCCTGCAATCCCTACACAGATCTGGCTGGCACAGGCACAAAACCACAGCTCGCCCCTATACCCGAAGCCAAGCCAGAGCACAACTAAGTGCAGTACAGCCATCTTCTCAGAAAAACTTTTCACAAAGTTCAAGAGGTCAAGACACGAAGGCTTGAGCAACTAATCCACACCTAATGACCCACCTAGTGGTACTCAGAATATCACTCAAGAAATCACTCAAGATACCCTCAAGTAATTAAGAACAAAAGAAGAAAAGGCACACTAGCCTGGGAACTTCCTCTTGCCCAGAACATTGGAGGCTATACACCACACCCCCCTCAACAGTATTTATAGGAACTCAAACACTGAGATCCTGCTCTGTTCCAGTAACAAGAAGCCGAAAGCACCAGCCTGAAGATGACGAGTGAGACCTCGTCGAAACGTCGCCTAGACACCCCAACTTTTACACGGGAAGACACCCGAGGACACCAAAACCTGCATATATATATATATATATATATATATATATATATATATATATATATAAAATGTATGTTGCTGTAAATATGTGGACAGTTCTATGCCAGCTATTTCATTTGCTATGTGGACCTGTTTTAAAATGGCAATAATCCAGAGAACCACACGTGTGCAGAGTGGTCTGTTGCCAACAGTGGGAAAGATCTGGCTGGGTGCACGAGGCTACTTTTCATTCAACACAGAAACAAAAAGGCATGCTTTTAAAGCTACATTGTCCAGATAGATTTGTCATTGCTTATGTAACCAGCTCTGGGGTTGAGTAAGGAGGTGGCCCACAGCTTTAGGCAAATGGGGCAACAACTACCTGACCATATGGTAGATCATCAGCTAGCCTGCCATATACCTCCCTCAACATAACTTTTACTACTGCTAATACTCATTTAATGGCTGGTGCCATTTAGCAGGCTCTGATTCTCTACAGCCTCATGGAGGAAAGCTGACTCCTGAGCTCTGTGTGGTGGACAGCTTTATGGAAAGTAGGTTCTGTGGGAGGAAGAAAGCAAGGATGACTCCATGCAATAGCAAGAGGTAGCAGCTGCCCCTCTAAAAATATTTTCTCTTATCCCACACAACTGAATGAAAGCACATAGCTTCATGAGCCACAGCAAACCAATTACGGTAGGTTAATGGCTTAAGTTTGAATTAAACATTTAAAAGCCTGCAAGTGAGTTTACGTTTTAAAAAGTTCCTCCCTCTGTCCCCCATCTACTTTTAATCCAGTAAGCATTAGCACTTTGCAGGGGAACATGGGGACATTTTTTCATAGGCATCTTATAATTGCTTTGATGGGGACATCACATTTTTAAATCACGCAGCATAGGAAGGACTCATAAATTAGCTCTGTGACATGATGGTGTGTGAATGTGTGTGTGTGTGTGTGTGTGTGTTTGGGATGTGACCTTATTAAGGAAATTGATGTGAGTCAAACTTGAGGACTTTTATATAGTAAGACATCTCTTCATTTCTCATGTAAACATGGATCCATCTAGCCACAAACTAGCAAGAGCTCACATGCAGATGTGGAAAGATGCTTTGGGATAAACACTCTTCTGACATTCAGATTATATTGAGATTACTTACGATCTATAGTGTATGCTTGTTACCTCTCCTCATGCTTGATGCTGGGTGGGGTTTTATTTTCTTTTTCTTTTTTGAATGAGTCTTGCAAAAAACCCAAAAAAAGATCTAAGGAAGTACAGTATTTTAGAGCCACCCCTTGAAGATCATCTCAGCTTTTTAAATCTAGTGTTGTTGTTGCTTTTTGATTAAGGTTTGTAATTGTTTTAGCATTAATTGGTTTTTCATAGCTGATTGTGGTCTGTTAGTTGCTGGGGTGGGGAGGTTGAACAGACAAATGTGATAAAATCATTAAGGGTTCACCCACAATTTTGCTTGTTCTGCTGCTTCCTCCTGGGAAAACCCCGCTGAATTTGAAGAAAAGTCAATTGTTTTTTCTGTGGATTGAGGTCTGTTCTGATTCAGTGGCAGACAGTCGGTTTGCCCTGGAAAAGTGGTTGGACAGATGAAAACAGTTCTCAGACCCATGTTTTCTACGTGTGGGACAAGTGGAAGTGTGGATGAGCCCTAATAGGAAAGAGAACTAATGGCTGACTTTGGGATTGACAACCGATCTGCCATCCAGCAGTTTCTCATTATGGGTTGTAGCATGTGCCTAGCTTTCGTAAGTTAACAAGAATTTAAGAAGAGCCCTGCCAAATCAAATCAAAAGCTTATCTGCTCCAGCAGTTCGATGACTGTGCACTCCCTCTATGGTTGGAAGCATAATGCTTCTGAACAGCAGTTGCTAGAAACTGCAGGAAGGGAGAGGGCTCTTGTGCTCAGGTTCCACTTGCAGGTTCCCCACAGGCATCTGGTCGGCCACTGTGAGAACAGAATACTGGACTAGATGGGCCATTGGCCACATCCAGCAGGCTTAGCTTAGCTTAGCTTTCCCATGGCAGCCAACCACAGGCAGGGAATGAGGACAGGACCCTTCTCTTGCTGTTACTCACCAGCAAATGATATTCAAAGGCAGCATATTTCCATCATGACTTAGCAGCCATGGGCAGCCTTGAATTCTATGAATTTGTTTAACCCCCTTTCAATGTGTCTGTGAGCTGGTGGCCAGATTTTACCTTTTCTCAGCCCCATGGGTCACCTTATCAGGTGATTGAGAGCTGGGTGTCCCCACCCACTTATCAACATTGGCTTGCAGCCATGGGAGGATGTAGTGACTAAGCAGGATTGAAGGCCCCATCCATCAGCTGATGAGCAGTGAGTTCAGCCATACTTTTTTCAGGGATCATCGCCAGTGAGTTCACCGTGGGCACAGCTGTTCCAGTTGCATCTCTACCTCCTTTACACCTGATTTTACACATGACGTTAGGTGTGAGGCTGTTGGGTGTGGTTCGAGGAAAATGGCTTGGCAGGTCAATGAGGAGACATGGCAGGTCAAATTTGCCCCATAGGCCAAAAGTTCCCCGCCCATGAACTCCAGGAACTAGGTTTTCTGCTCTCTACATAATACTGGTTTGCTCATTGTTGCATGTCAGCCACATCCCTGCAGATCACCAAAAGATGCTATTGGAGCTGCTAACTCAGCAAGGACCAGGTGACAGAAGCGGCCAGAGAGGTCAATCTGGTTCTAATGCTGATGATTTTGGCTTGGTTCCTTGAACTGACCTGCTAAGCCGAGAGTCTGCTGGGTGCAATAGCCACTGAACTATTACCCTTGCCTGGGAAAAGATCATGCATCAAAAACTCAAAAATTCCCATGTTGCCTGCAATGAAGGATGGTCACAGGGAACAGTGGGCAGAATGTCTTGAAATGGCTTGTCTTTTTATTTTTGTGCTAGCCCTTTGAGGGCTGAGTTTGGAGCTCACAGCTGGTCATAAATTCACATGAACCCTTTCAGAAAAGGGAACTAATTTTTCTTTTCCTCCTGAAAATAGCTTGAATGTACTTGAATTTATGTGAATGAAGCTATCCTGCTGCAGGGGTTATGCTCTTTATTTCTCCCTTGTTTGAAACTGTGTGTGAAATGAAATGACACAGAATATTCTAACCAATATTCTTGCAGGAGTTGACCTAGGTTGGGCCTATCTGATTCCGGAACCTTTATCTCCGTCCAGACAGATACGACATCTGACTTCTACATGCACAGAGGAGGGCCAGCCAAGCCCTTTCCCTTGCATGGGTGGGCTGATGACCATAGATGGGTGGCTTTCAAAACTTCTGGTTTTGCATGAAATTGATTTCCATGCAAAGAAGCTAAGCTGCTTGTGTGTGCGCATGTTGTGTGTCTAATACTTTCTCTCTCTTTCTCTCTCTCCCTCTCTTCCCCCTCCCTTTCGTGCTTCCTATGAAAATGCTTCATCAGATGTCAATCGTGTTCCAGGTGAGTGTTGTGTTTGCTAGTGTGGAAGGCTACTCTTTTGAGGACGGGGGTGAGCCTAGAGCAAATATTTCAAGCAAGTGATTGGGAAAGTATTAGACTTCAAGGATGGTATTTACAGGTGCAGTGTGGTGGAATGTTTGTTTTGTCATGATAAAATGGTGAAGAATTATACACAGCAAATGCAATGTCAATGAAGAATAGTGAGGATGCACTGAGTTAGTGGTTTCTTTGGATTCTAACCTATTTCAGGTCAGTTGTTGCTTAAGAAGTGAAGACCTGGTATGCTTCTGTTGCTACAGTGTGAACCTGCCATTATTGAAGAAATGTTGGTTTTGCTGAATTGTTCAAAGGTTTGATGAAAACGAAGCTGAAATAAGAAGCAGTAAATCTAAAAAAATATAAAGTTCATTGTTGTCCTGGAATATTCCTTAGAGCATATAGTCTAAGGGTTTTCTTCATTTGTAATATGTGTGAATGAATGAATGAGGCTTCAGATGCAGTTTCATTTTGTGCTCTTCCAGCATATTGGATTTATCCACCCCAAGGAAATATTCATCCACAGAGAATGCTGACTCCCAATTCCTAGGTGGTTTCCCCTGCCTAATGTTACTGTATAGCCTTCACTTCTGGGGTGGAGGATGTTGATCTAATGAATGAACAAACAATATTAAAGGTCTTGGTTTGCCTGCCACTGAAGTCTCTGGCCATATAGTGAACTCACACCCCAACTGCTGTGTTTTTCACATCCAGGGAAGCTTTGCCATGTGATAGGTGCTGTACCAGCTTCTGAGAAGAGGAAAAGACCAAAACTAGGGACCAAGATTCATGCTTCATGCCAACGTGTGTAACTTTCCACCATTTTTAAAAAATGAGAAGCAGTTTCAGGAGGCTTGTACAGTGGCAGGGACAGGTCACTCAACCATGATCAAATGTATCCCCTAGTTGCTTTTTTGTAGAGAGTTTTCTCTCTCTTTCTTATCAAGGTGAGAAAGATAACTGATAGGCAGGGGTGGGGAACCTGGGATGGGTCAAATTTGGCCCAAGGGACTGCTTTCCTCAAACTATGCCCACTTGCCCCAGGTGAGATATAGAGATATGGCAGTATTGACTGCATTGCACAGATCTCCATGGGGAACCCAATTGATCGGCCAGTCCTTGATGAATCAGTCGCATGAGTTTCCCTGGAATAGCAAGTAGGGTTGAAGTTGCTGTCCAGCAGCTGATGTGTGATGAGTTCAGCCCTGCCAGATCAGCTGTGTGACTGAGTTCCCTGTGAGGAACTCAATCATGCAGCCAATCTCTGTAGAAAACAGCTTTGCCGGCCCTGTGTGCAGTGCTCTGTCAAGCACAGGGCTGGCAAATCCCTTGCACTGTAATTCCTTAGTGCCTGAAGAAAAGCTGGCTGTTGGGCAGTGCTGTGCAAGGGGCTTTGACAGGCAGAGATTTTTTATGTTGCTGTAACCTGCCTTGGTACCTCACATTGAACAGTGGGTAAGAAATCCAATAAATGATAATGTGAATTAATCATCATAATAAATAACCATCATAATTAATCATCATGATTAATAATCTTTCTCTTCAGTCATTCGATTTACACCCAGGACTGTAACTCCCCCTGCCCAAAATCAATCAAGTCAAGAGTGCAAGTTAATCTACAGTTCTCTTCCTATTCTCTTCTATTCTATCTGTATCATGCTTTCTTCGCTGACCATACATACCATATTAGCATGAAATAAGGTAGTACATCCTCACAACACAACTGATAATAGGGGTGGAAGAGGTCATGTGACACTGTGTTTTTTCTAGGCATGATTCCGAAAGAGATTTGATCAACTAATAACACCCATCTCATATTTGCCTTTGCAATGTGTTTTCCCTCTCTAAATGAACCAGGTATTCATAAACAATTCAAAATGGACATCATGTCATATAACTTAGATAAGAGTAGAAGTCAAAATCTCCCCTACCCCCCAGAACAGAAGATTCAGGGTGAGGGCTTCCATGGAAAGGAGTTAAGATGCATGGAAATGAGTTAAGATGCATGCAAAGCATTTTTCAGCACATCTGGTGCTGGAAGAAGAGTTTAATGCCTAGTTAGCTCTCATTTGGCACCTGCTTCACAATAGTCCTCGCACAACAGCACCCCTCTCAATTCAAGATCCGCTCACACCCCTTAACTATTGCAGCTCAGTTAAATTTCCTTAACTGATACAAGTGGACTTGGCATTCTCTGAGCACCTGTTGCATAAACACAGGCTTGTGCGCCCCTCCCCACACCCTCCCTCTTCTCCTGGAGATGTGCTATGGATTTGCCTATATGCAATTACGTATCACTGTCAGCTGCAGTTGCATTCAGCAGGCAGGGTGCGCAAAAGGGCACATTTTCACATATATCTGGTGCCTTCGCCTTACCTTACTTCAAATTTGGCAAAGCTGATAAAATTGCCCTGAGGATTGGATCTGGCCTGTAGGCCCTTAGTTGGCCATCCCTGTTGCAGCCTGTTTTGATGCAGAAAGGTGCCCCAGGCTGCTGCTATGAGAGACTGTTTATAGATTTATGGGACAGTTTAGGAATTTTCTTTATCATGCAACTATTTACCCGCAGGCAGCAGCAGGGCTACAAAGGACTTGTATTGATGAATTGATTCATTTTATTTGCCTGCTAGACAGGCCACAACTAATACCCCAGTCAACAGCCTAGGATTGGCTGTCACAAAGTGCTTGACCCCAAGACTTTCTCTGTGGGCAAGCCAAAATCAAGTGAACTGGAATTTGATTTGAATGAACTCTTTTATTTTCGTGCCAGCCATCTCATTTTTTTAGACCACCATTCCTGTTAGCATGGAGCCCACCAAGAGGAATGATCAGCTGTGATGCTCCTCGCTCTCTTTAAGAGCCACTTCATAACTTTTCTATTTCAGTTTAGAACTGCAAGCATGTTTTTGGTCAATAGTGCAGGTTGGCTTGGCTGCTGTTTGCTCCACCTCTCAGTCCCTGGAGACTACCAGGTCTCTGTGAATCCTTTTGCCACTGATGTATAGTGAAGTGTCATTGCCAGCCAGGTCTCTCACGTTCATATCCTCAGGGACTCGCCACATGCTTGTTTGTTTTTAAAACAATTCCACTTTTCCATAAATCATCCTCAAAGCAGATAACACTGTTTTATTTTTATAACAACAAATTCAACAACCAATAAATAATGATGTAGCAACAGGGACTCAAGGTGGCTTACAGCTAAGACAGAAACAATTAAAGGCATAGAAAAAAAGCACGCATTCAAAACCAATTAAACATTAGTAGAATTGAAATATATCAATATCTATATAAAATATCTATTAGAACATAGATGGAAAGAGGCTGGAGTGCCCCCCATCACTTTTTAAATTGTAGGGTCTTAAGAAAACACATTGTCTTGCATAGAGGCCATTTTCTTTCTTAGCAAGGCCTTTATTAAGGTATAGGACTGATAGCAATTGAATAGTGGGGACCAATCTGTTTGACCTTATTTCTGCCAATACCACCACTTCTGGACTCACTTGGCTACTAAGTTACAGTAGATGAGGCTACTGAGATTTCTGTGTTGTTGTGGTTTTGCACATTCTTACCTGGAAGTCTCAGAAACCATTGGCAAACATGGTTCATCCAATGGCTGTGGGTGCGTCACCAGCATCAAATAATAATAACGCCCATCTGGCTGAGTTTCCAATTGAGTGTTAAAAACAATACACCATTTAAAAACAATACAGATAGCCCCTTAAGGTTTCTAAGGCTAGCAGAGAAGCTCTCAGAAGTTGATAAAGAACTGAAGTTAGAGCATTAGAAATTTGATTAGTTCCTGTGAAACCTTAAAAGAGACAGATTTGGAGGGGGGAATTGTTGGGGAAGCAAACACTTTGATAAGACTTGTGGGTTTTGTTTGTTTGTTTGTTTGCTTGCTTATGTATGCCACCGACACAATAAAGGTTCAATAGTGGTGAATTTATACTGGATGATCCACACACCCTTCCACTTTATTAGTGGCCGGTGCTGCTTTCCCAAGGTTGCTGCATTATTGCCATCTGGAGGGGCATTCTTGCACCATAGGACAATAAAATTGGAACAGCCCCCCCCCAATCCATTTGTGGTATGAAAAATTACAGAATTTCAGCAGGAAGCTATGGAACATGCACCTATTGGAAATAGCAGCATGCCCACTTCAAAATCTTTGTAGGCTCAAATAGTATTGAAAGTGGGGTTGTGCATAACTGCCTCAATATCATGGTTAGCAGGAATCATCATAAATGCACACTAAAAAGGATATGGGGGGCCCCTTTAAGACTAGCCGAAACCCCCAGGATTCCAGCTTCTCTTCCTCTATTACCTCTACAGACTTTCTGTGGCTTTCCCCTAGGATAGTCCTGCTTCCTAGCTCTTGTTTCTGTTTGCCAAGTTACTGGTGCCAGAATGCTATGTCCTACTTCATAGGAACTGAAGAGCTGTCATTGCTGGGTCCAAATTGGCCTTCAGACTAGAGGAGCTCACCTGCTCATAGTAGATGCTAACAGCTGTGAACAAGTAATACACAGCTTGGCAGCTTGGTTGCTGTGTAGCTTTTCGCTGGGGATTTCTCAGGAGCCCTCTCTTAACCTTGCTGAAATGGATGGAGGTTGCACAGCACTGGTGGTTGTTGAAGTGTGCCCAGTATTTATGTTTTAGATTGCTGATCCTTTACACCAGCACAGCTTCTCATTCACTTAGGTCACCCTTATATGAACACTTGTATTCCCATCCCCCCATTTTCCTGCATGTATTGGTTTGGTAATGCCAGTACTTAACAGTACAAGACAGAAAGATAATATATTGGCACAAGTCCCAGCAAAATAACCAATTATACCTTAAAAGCCAGCTGAAAAGAGAGAAATGTGTCAAACTTTTGGCGAAGGAAAGAGAATCCTGGTGGATTTCCACTGAGAAAGTGTTCTGTAAGTATAGGAGCACCACCCAAAAGGTCTTGTCTTTTG